GGGGGGGGCACTAAGTAAATTCAGATGACAAACAGCCAGCAGAATCCCATTTGGAACTGCATGGATTGAGTTTTTTGAGGAGCTGTTGTGTAATGCGCGAGGACAGGGCCGCAGGATACGCGGGACTGTAGGGGGTGCGCTGCTGTGGGACTGCGGGACACTCACTCAAACCAATAAACAGAACTTTATTAAGAAAACCAAAACACACCAGAAACAAAAACCAATCAAGAATCGCAGGGGATCCAGCAGTAACTCCAAGCAGCCACCGTACCACTACGCTAGGGCAGGAGCGGCAGCAGCTTCAAGCTTCCACCGCACCAATATTCGTGCACACAAAAACAATCACCACCTCATTTCTAATCACATCATTACATATCATGGAGGTGGGAACCGAGTCAGGAGACGAGACATTTGCATATCACATGGAATCGAAGGGCAACTGGGCAACGCGAAAGTGTTTAGCCGGAGCTTTGTTTGCTTGCTGCTAACACATTGTTATGCGTTTTTTGCTGCGTAACAGCAGTACAAAACGCATTTGTCACGGGATTGTCTGTATGCGTTTGTGTCCGCAGCAACTTGTCCGCAACTTTCAACTCGGGAACCACAAAAGCTAGGAAGCTGGAAATTTAGGGTAACGTTTCCCGCAGCAACTTGTCCGCAACTTTCAACTCGGGAACCACAAAAGCTATGAAGCTGAAAATTTAACGCAGCAACTTGTCCGCAACTTTCAACTCGGGAACCACAAAAGCTAGGAAGCTGAAAATTTAAGGGGTGTCCGCAACTTTCAACTCGAGAACCACAAAAGCTAGGAAGCTGAAAATTTAGGGTAATGTTCCCCACCCACGTGTGACTGTCCGCAACTTTCAACTCGGGAACCACAAAAGCTAGAAAGCTGAAAATTTAGGGAAACGTTCCCCACCCACGTGTGACTCCGCAAATTTAAGTTCACCTTCCCCGTACCCGCGGGAACGCGTACGGCCCCGTGAAAGTCTTTCACGGGTAAGTTAATATCTCGGGAACCTCGAAGTCTAGGAGGCTGAAATTTTAGGGTAATGACTCACTGCCCACGCTCAACCTTGCCCATTCAAATTCAGCCTTCCCTTACCCGCGGGTAACACGTACGGCCCCGTGAAAGCTTTTCACGGGTAAGTTAACATCTCGGGAACCACTGAGTCTAGGAGGCTGGAATTTTAGGTAATGACCCCCTGCCCACGCTCAACCTTGCCCATTCAAATTCAGCGTTCTCGCGCTCTCGGGCTCCACCTACGGCCTCGTGAAAATTTTGGCGGGTAAACCATTAACTCGGGAATCACGGAAAGATATTCATCCTTCAAGGTTTCGAATTCAGCTTTCATGCGCTAGTGCGTGGAATTTTTAACTGTTTTCCAATGTTCGAACTATTTTTGCATAGATTAAAGTACAAAGCAGTGAAAATCACTAATAGGCAATCGTCCGATAGGCTGAATTGCACAAAACGCATAATCACACAGGCTAGTATGGTGCGCGTTGCTATTTATACCTTTTGCAGCCGTTGCTGTACCAGTCATTCATGAATCCTTCTTCCTCCCATACATTCACTGCTGTAGAATTTTGTTATTTGAAAGTGAGTAATCTTTTCTATGGTATGATTATTGCAGATGGAATTTGGACCATTGCTGATTGATAGGAAAGGTAGCTCAGCGACCAGTGACAGTACAGTAGCTGTGATCAAGGAGTCAGCGGACGCGAACAAGCAGCCGTCCAGTCCATTGCTCGGGGTTTCCGGTGAGCTGCCTAGTGAGGATAATTGTCCCTATTGCAACCATCATTACAGAAAGGTAATGTGCATGTCGTTAATCAATGAGAATTGGATTTTTCCTCCGAGTACTCTTGGTTTTTCCAGTTCGTGAGAATTATTATTATTGTTATTATTATTATTGTTACGGTTATTATTATTATTATTATTATTATTATTATTATTATTATTATTATTATTATTATTATTATT